TGACAACACCAGCCTTATCCGTGACAACACCAGCCTTATCTGTGACAACACCAGCCTTATCTGTGACAACACCAGCCTTATCTGTGACAACACCAGCCTTATCAGTGACAACACCAGCCTTATCAGTGACAACACCAGCCTTATCTGTGACAACACCAGCCTTATCTGTGACAACACCAGCCTCATCCGTGACAACACAAGTCTTATCCGTGACAACACCAGCCTTATCTGTGACAACACCAGCCTTATCTGTGACCAGCCTTATCTGTGACAACACTAGCCTTATCTGTGACCAGCCTTATCTGTGTCGACACCAGCCTTATCTGTGACCAGCCTTATCCGTGACAACACCAGTCTTATCTGTGACAACACCAGCCTTATCTGTGACAACACCAGCCTTATCTGTGACAACACTAGCTTTATCTGTGACCAGCCTTATCTGTGTCGACACCAGCCTTATCTGTGACCAGCCTTATCCGTGACAACACCAGTCTTATCCGTGACAACACCAGCCTTATCTGTGACAACACCAGCCTTATCTGTGACAACACCAGCCTTATCTGTGACCAGCCTTATCTGTGACAACACCAGCCTTATCTGTGACAACACCAGTTTTATCTGTTACAATACCAGCCTTATCTGTGACGACACCAGCCTTATCTGTAACAATACCAGCCTTATCTGTGACGACACCAGCCTTTTCTGTGTCGACACCAGCCTTATCTGTGACAACACCAGCCTTATCTGTGACAACACCAGTCTTATCTGTAACAATACCAGCCTTATCTGTGACGACACCAGCCTTATCTGTAACAATACCAGCCTTATCTGTGACGACACCAGCCTTTTCTGTGTCGACACCAGCCTTATCTGTGACAACACAAGCCTTATCTGTGACAACACCAGCCTTATCTGTGACAACACCAGCCTTATCTGTGACAACAACAGCCTTATCTGTGACCAGCCTTATCTGTGACAACACTAGCCTTATCTGTGACAACACCAGCCTTATCCGTGACAACACCAGCCTTATTTATGACAAAAACAGCCTTATCTGTGACAACACCAGCCTTATCTGTGACAACACAAGCCTTATCTGTGACAACACCAGCCTTATCTGTGACCAGCCTTATCTGTGACCAGCCTTATCTGTGACCAGCCTTATCTGTGTTGACACCAGCCTTATCTGTGACAACACCAGCCTTATCTGTGTTGACACCAGCCTTATCTGTGACAACACCAGCCTTATCTGTGACAACACCAGCCTTATCTGTGACAACACCAGCCTTATCTGTGACCAGCCTTATCTGTGACCAGCCTTATCTGTGACCAGCCTTATCTGTGACAACACCAGCCTTATCTGTGACAACACCAGCCTTATCTGTGTCAACACCAGCCTTATCTGTGACAACACCAGCCTTATCTGTGACAACACCAGCCTTATCTGTGACAACACCAGCCTTATATGTGACAACACCAGCCTTATCCGTGACAACACCAGCCTTATCTGTGACAACACCAGCCTTATCCGTGACAACACCAGCCTTATCTGTGACAACAACAGCCTTATCTGTGACAACACCAGCCTTATCTGTGACAACACCTGCCTTATCTGTGTCGACACCAGCCTTATCTGTGTCGACACCAGCCTTATCTGTGACAACACCAGCCTTATCTGTGACAACACCAGCCTCATCTGTGTCAACACCAGCCTTATCTGTGACAACACCAGCCTTATCTGTGACAACACCAGCCTTATCTGTAACAATACCAGCCTTATTTGTGACGACACCAGCATTTTCTGTGTCGACACCAGCCTTATCTGTGACAACACCAGCCTTATCTGTGACAACACCAGCCTTATCTGTGACAACACCAGACTTATCTGTGTCAACACCAGCCTTATCTGTGACAACACCAGCCTTATCTGTGTCAACACCAGCCTTATCTGTGACAACACCAGCCTTATCTGTGACAACACCAGCCTTATCTGTGTCGACACCAGCCTTATCCGTGACAACACCAGCCTTATCTGTGACAACACCAGCCTTATCTGTGTCGACAAAGGAGGTCATGTCAAAGTTCTTGTAAATTTTCACTCTTTCTTTAGTAGCATGTTTGGTGACAACACCAACCTATTGAGACACCCACGTTGTATATCTCCCATGACAACACCAACCTATTGAAACACCCATGTTTTATATCTCCCACGACAACACCAACCTATTGAAACACCCACGTTTTGTATCTCCCATGACAACACCAACCTATTGAAACACCCACGTTGTATATCTCCCATGACAACACCAACCTATTGAAACACCCACGTTGTATATCTCCCATGACAACACCAACCTATTGAAACACCCATGTTTTATATCTCCCACGACAACACCAACCTATTGAAACACCCACGTTGTATATCTCCCACGACAACACCAACCTATTGAAACACCCACGTTGTATATCTCCCATGACAACACCAACTTATTGAAACACCCACGTTGTATATCTCCCATGACAACACCAACCTATTGAAACACCCACGTTGTATATCTCCCATGACAACACCAACCTATTGAAACACCCACGTTGTATATCTCCCGCGACAACACCAAGCTATTGAAACAACCACGTTTTATATCTCCCACGACAACACCAACCTATTGAAACACCCACGTTTTATATCTCCCACGACAACACCAACGTATTGAAACACCCACGTTGTATATCTCCCACGACAACACCAACCTATTGAAACACCCACGTTGTATATCTCCCATGACAACACCAACCTATTGAAACACCCACGTTGTATATCTCCCATGACAACACCAACCTATTGAAACACCCACGTTGTATATCTCCCATGACAACACCAACCTATTGAAACACCCACGTTGTATATCTCCCGCGACAACACCAACCTATTGAAACACCCACGTTTTATATCTCCCACGACAACACCAACCTATTGAAACACCCACGTTTTATATCTCCCACGACAACACCAACCTATTGAAACACCCACGTTGTATATCTCCCACGACAACACCAACCTACTGAACACCCACGTTGTATATCTCCCATGACAACATCAACCTATTGAAACACCCACGTTGTATATCTCCCATGACAACACCAACCTATTGAAACACCCACGTTGTATATCTCCCATGACAACACCAACTTATTGAAACACCCACGTTGTATATCTCCAATGACAACACCAACCTATTGAAACACCCACGTTGTATATCTCCCACAACAACACCAACCTATTGAAACACCCACATTGTATATCTCCCATGACAACACCAACCTATTGAAACACCCACGTTTTATATCTCCCGCGACAACACCAACCTATTGAAACACCCACGTTTTATATTTCCCACGACAACACCAACCTATTGAAACACCCACGTTGTATATCTCCCATGACAACACCAACCTATTGAAACCCCCACGTTGTATATCTCCCATGACAACACCAACCTATTGAAACACCCACGTTGTATATCTCCCGCGACAACACCAACCTATTGAAACACCCACGTTTTATATCTCCCACGACAACACCAACCTATTGAGACACCCACGTTGTGGAGCACCTTTAGAATACAGTACCACAACTTCTTGTGAGGACGATCTCTGCCATAGGTCACATGTCTCAAGACAAGCAACCAGTTTTTGTGAGAATCCATCGGACGCGAACCCGTGACCCTCGGATTGTTAGCCTGACAGCTAACCGATTGAGCTACGTCCACACTGTTAAACTTAGTGCAAATTTACCTAGTCATGCCTATGACGTTACGGAACTGAACGAAAAAGTGTCGAATTGTTGACAGACACTTACGAAGGTTACGGGTAGACATGGTTTCTGGTGACTTTAGTCTATCGACACTTACGAATGATCCCGATGCCAATTGGCACACTTGTCCCATTCTGTAATCTACAAGATACCGAGTGGTGAGGAATGAGCCGATAGACACAAAACCATTTCATTCTTTTTACTCGATGTTTTTGTGTTTTTGTGTGAAGAATATTAGGAGCCGCTATAGAATCTATAATAGAAACTAGACGGGTAGATTTACCGAACACTAATGATCGTAAAGGGGATCCAAGGGCTAAAGATAGAGTTGGGGTAATCTAATAGCCACTAAACGGGTCCCGGGTACCTAACCCTAATGATCGAAAAGGGGTGATTTATCGTAAAGGGGATCCAAGTGGTGAACTGGTGCCTTTTGATAGTTTGGGATTTTTCCAAAAATTATTTTTTCGAGATTCCATGGCAACGACTTTGATTTAGACTGAAAATGGCGGTAGTCCTCGTTTCCGGAGCAGATATTGTAAACCGTACCATATTTCTTCATCAAACTTCACACATAGATAGATCTAGTGGTGAACTGGTGCCTTTTAATAGTTTGGGATTTTTCAAAAAATTATTTTTCGTGATTCCATGGCAACGACTTTGATTTAGACTGAAAATGCCGGAGCAGATCTTGAAAAACGTACTATATTTCTTCACCAAACTTGGCACATAATGTCATCTCACAGTATTGAATACATTTCCTTTCTTGTTGAGTAAGTTCTGCATTGCTTGAGTGTATGTTCCTCCAAAAGTGTCATGGACACAGTTGTTGCATTCACTGACTAACTTCATGCAGAAACACAACTCATTACAAATATAACAGTGTAACGTATCTTAAACCTACTCAACTGTATAATGTTATTTCTAAAGCGTTGTATCACTATATCGCGTCACAATATCACGCCACTTTTGCGCCTTTGCACTTTATTTTGTGCCACTTTCCGCCTCTTTCACGGTATTATCGTGCCACTTTCATGGTAGTACCGCGCCACTTTCATGGTATTACCGCGCCACTTTCACACAACTTTGGCGAACATATAGCAAACATTTTGAGGAAGAAATTTTGAAATGAGCGTACATAAGAACTATGCATTCTCTCAGCCTGTATAATACACAAGCAGCTCACCCATTCCGCTTCCACTGCTGGTACACGTTGAGGTACGTGAGATGATCGCTCTCGGGAACCTGGAACTTCTCCCTGGCAGCATCCGAGTCCTCCTCTCTCCCTTTAGGGCGGTAGAAGATGGCTGGCACCGACAACATGGACACGATGGTCTGAAACACAAAAAACACCCATAGGACATCTGTGTTCATAGTCTATACATGACGAAACACCCATAACACCCATAGGACATCTGTGTTCATAGTCTATACATGATGAAACACCCATAACACCCATAGGACATCTGTGTTCATAGTCTATACACGATGAAACACACCAAACACCCATAGGACATCTGTGTTCATAGTCTATAGACGATGAAACACACCAAACACCCATAGGACATCTGTGTTCATAGACTATACACGATGAAACACACCAAACACCCATAGGACATCTGTGTTCATAGTCTATACATGATGAAACACACTAAAAACACCCATAGGACATCTGTGTTCATAGTCTATACACGATGAAACACACCAAACACCCATAGGACATCTGTGTTCATAGTCTATACACAATGAAACACCCATAACACCCCTAGGACATCTGTGTTCATAGTCTATACACAATGAAACACACCAAACACCCATAGGACATCTGTGTTCATAGTCTATACACGATGAAACACACCAAACACCCATAGGACATCTGTGTTCATAGTCTATACACGATGAAACACACCAAACACCCATAGGACATCTGTGTTCATAGACTATACATGATGAAACACACCAAACACCCATAGGACACCTGTGTTCATAGTCTATACACGATGAAACACACCAAACACCCATAGGACATCTGTGTTCATAGTCTATACACGATGAAACACACCAAACACCCATAGGACATCTGTGTTCATAGTCTATACACGATGAAACACACCAAACACCCAAAGGACATCTGTGTTCATAGACTATACACGATGAAACACACCAAACACCCATAGGACATCTGTGTTCATAGTCTATACACGATGAAACACACCAAACACCCATAGGACATCTGTGTTCATAGTCTATACACGATGAAACACACCAAACACCCATAGGACATCTGTGTTCATAGTCTATACACGATGAAACACACCAAACACCCATAGGACACCTGTGTTCATAGTCTATACACGATGAAACACACCAAACACCCATAGGACATCTGTGTTCATAGTCTATACACGATGAAACACACCAAACACCCATAGGACATCTGTGTTCATAGTCTATACACGATGAAACACACCAAACACCCATAGGACATCTGTGTTCATAGTCTATACACAATGAAACACACCAAACGCCCATAGGACATCTGTGTTCATAGTCTATACACGATGAAACACACCAAACACCCATAGGACATCTGTGTTCATAGACTATACACGATGAAACACACCAAACACCCATAGGACATCTGTGTTCATAGACTATACACGATGAAACACACCAAACACCCATAGGACACCTGTGTTCATAGTCTATACACGATGAAACACACCAAACACCCATAGGACATCTGTGTTCATAGACTATACACGATGAAACACACCAAACACCCATAGGACACCTGTGTTCATAGTCTATACACGATGAAACACACCAAACACCCATAGGACATCTGTGTTCATAGTCTATACACGATGAAACACACCAAACACCCATAGGACATCTGTGTTCATAGTCTATACACGATGAAACACACCAAACACCCATAGGACACCTGTGTTCATAGTCTATACACGATGAAACACACCAAACATCCATAGGACATCTGTGTTCATAGTCTATACACGATGAAACACACCAAACACCCATAGGACATCTGTGTTCATAGTCTATACACGATGAAACACACCAAACACCCATAGGACACCTGTTTTCATAGTCTATACATGATGAAACACACCAAACACCCATAGGACATCTGTGTTCATAGTCTATACACGATGAAACACACCAAACACCCATAGGACATCTGTGTTCATAGTCTATACACGATGAAACACACCAAACACCCATAGGACATCTGTGTTCATAGTCTATACACGATCAAACACACCAAACATCCATAGGACACCTGTGTTCATAGTCTATACACGATGAAACACCCATAACACCCATAGGACATCTGTGTTCATAGTCTATACACGATGAAACACACCAAACACCCATAGGACATCTGTGTTCATAGTCTATAAACGATGAAACACACCAAACACCCATAGGACATCTGTGTTCATAGTCTATACACAATGAAACACACCAAACACCCATAGGACATCTGTGTTCATAGTCTATACACAATGAAACACACCAAACACCCATAGGACATCTGTGTTCATAGTCTATACACGATGAAACACACCAAACACCCATAGGAAATCTGTGTTCATAGTCTATACACGATGAAACACACCAAACACCCATAGGACATCTGTGTTCATAGTCTATACACGATGAAACACATCAAACACCCATAGGACACCTGTGTTCATAGTCTATACACAATGAAACACACCAAACACCCATAGGACATCTGTGTTCATAGTCTATAGACGATGAAACACACCAAACACCCATAGGACACCTGTGTTCATAGTCTATACACAATGAAACACACCAAACACCCATAGGACATCTGTGTTCATAGTCTATAGACGATGAAACACACCAAACACCCATAGGACACCTGTGTTCATAGTCTATACACGATGAAACACCCATAACACCCATAGGACATCTGTGTTCATAGTCTATACACGATGAAACACACCAAACACCCATAGGACACCTGTGTTCATAGTCTATACACGATGAAACACACCAAACACCCATAGGACATCTGTGTTCATAGTCTATACACGATGAAACACACCAAACACCCATAGAACACCTGTGTTCATAGTCTATACACGATGAAACACACCAAACACCCATAGGACACCTGTGTTCATAGTCTATACATGATGAAACACACCAAACACCCATAGGACATCTGTGTTCATAGTCTATACATGATGAAACACACCAAACACCCATAGGACATCTGTGTTCATAGTCTATACACGATCAAACACACCAAACATCCATAGGACATCTGTGTTCATAGTCTATACACGATGGTCTGAAAGACACCAAACACCCATAGGACATCTGTGTTCATAGTCTATACACGATGGTCTGAAACACACCAAACACCCATAGGACATCTGTGTTCATAGTCTATACATGATGGTCTGAAAGACACCAAACACCCATAGGACATCTGTGTTCATAGTCTATACACGATGGTCTGAAAGACACCAAACACCCATAGGACATCTGTGTTCATAGACTTTACACGATGAAACACACCAAACACCCATAGGACATCTGTGTTCATAGTCTATACACGATGGTCTGAAAGACACCAAACACCCATAGGACATCTGTGTTCATAGTCTATACACGATGAAACACACCAATCACCACCCCATCTCCCCACACTACCCCTCACCACCCCCATCTCTCCACACCACCCCTAACTCTCCACACCACCCCTAACTCTTCACACCACCCCTAACACTCCACACCACCCCTAACTCTCCACACCACCCCTAACTCTCCACACCACCCCTAACTCTCCACACCACCCCTAACTCTCCACACCACCCCTAACACTTCACACCACCCCTAACACTTCACACCACCCCCATCTCTCCACACCACCCCTAACTCTCCACACCACCCCTAACTCTTCACACCACCCCTAACACTCCACACCACCCCTAACTCTCCACACCACCCCTAACTCTCCACACCACCCCTAACTCTCCACACCACCCCTAACTCTCCACACCACACCTAACTCTCCACACCACCCCTAACTTCTTCTCCGGCTATCTCCAGTGTTAGCCTGCAGTTCACACTTCAGCTTATCTCCAGGTAAGTCAGCCTGCCTAGGTTAAACACACAGCCACTTAAGTGGTGATGGTCAGTTCAGTTCCTGATCATATTGTTTGTAAACTGCTGTAATCATGTTAACAACTACTAACTCTGTCATTGTAAACAGCTCCAGACAGCAGGGTGGAAAAAACAAATCACCATTATCCAATTACTTTTGAAATGATGGCTTATATATATGACAAGGTATATATATGCAAGACAATAATACAATAACTCTACAAGTTTACCCAACATAACAAGGGCTTGTGTATCTGTGTTAGTCATAATAGATGATTGATGGTAGACACCACCTCAATACATGTACCAAGGGACATCTACCTGTGTATTGAGGGTATCTACCTGTGTATATCTACCTGTGTATAGAGGGTATCTACCTGTGTATATCTACCTGTGTATAGAGGTTATCTACCTGTGTATATCTACCAGTGTATAGAGGGTATCTACCTGTGTGTATCTACCTGTGTATGGGAGGTATCTACCTGTGTATATCTACCTGTGTATAGAGGGTATCTACCTGTGTATATCTATCTGTGTATAGAGGGTATCTATCTGTGTATATCTACCTGTGTATAGAGGGTATCTACCTGTGTATATCTACCTGTGTATAGAGGGTATCTACCTGTGTATACTTACCAGTGTAAAGAGGGTATCTACCTGTGTATATCTACCTGTGTATGGGAGGTATCTACCTGTGTACATCTACCTGTGTATAGAGGGTATCTACCTGTGTATTGAGGGTATCTACCTGTGTATATCTACCAGTGTATAGAGGGTATCTACCTGTGTATATCTACCTGTGTATGAGAGGTATCTACCTGTGTATATCTACCTGTGTATAGAGGGTATCTACCTGTGTATTTAGGGTATCTACCTGTGTATATCTACCAGTGTATAGAGGGTATCTATCTGTGTATATCTACCTGTGTATGAGAGGTATCTACCTGTGTATATCTACCTGTGTATGAGAGGTATCTACCTGTGTATAGAGAGTATCTACCTGTGTATATCTACCAGTGTATAGAGGGTATCTACCTGTGTATATCTACCAGTGTATTGAGGGTATCTACCTGTGTATATCTACCAGTGAATAGAGGGTATCTACCTGTGTATATCTACCTGTGTATGGGAGGTATCTACCTGTGTATATCTACCTGTGTATAGAG